CCGCTATTTAGTTCCATTATTTTAGAGAAGGCAGACATCTCTGCGGCTGATATCTCCAACATTCGGCAACTCACACCAAAAAAATCTAGACTGATTAATAGCACTACAGGTAAAAGGAAAAATATGTATTTTTGATTTGTCCCTTTAACTTTAATTATAACTTTGTCCATTTCCTATATTGAATTCATCTTCCGAGCTAAACTTTTGCTTTCAGGTCTCAAAGGGAGCGTTCACACTGCCGGTCTGTTTCAGGGCATGACCCCTCTCTGGTACCAGGATGAAATTACAAACAGGAAAATAAAACAGTTGCAAAGTAACTGGAAATCCAGACCATAAAAAGCCCTGCATTCATTGGTGGGGGTGTGTTGTTTGATACTGACATTGGTGAGACGATGACGGCCGGTTTGGGTAATAGATCTGTGTGTTTGAGGCCTTATCAGACACCAAAATGCAGCATAAAGGCTCATAATGCTATCAGACAGGATTTTACTGCTCTGGGAAGTTAATTTATGCTTTAACACTTGACCATCTCATAAAACCCTGTTGCTCACAACATCCTGAATTCATACTTTGGTGACAGTAAGTAGACAGCACAATATTTAACCACGGCAATTAAACTTATAATCAGGGAAGTAGATAGAAATAAACTAATATTTCTCTTTGACTGAAGCCTGGTTCATTTGCTGGAAGTAACACTATGTTCTTAGTTTATTTACCAGACTTGTTTGTGGAAGCGGTGAGTGAACTGTCCTGTCACACCCATGCTGTACGTCAGTCCTTGATGCCCCCATGACATTACTGTATGTGACGGTGATAGTTGGGACCCAAAACAACCATCTCCGTAGGTAGATTGCAGAGTGACTGAGCATAAATTAAACTTAATAATAATAATACCACTTCTGCTTAGTTGTGACACTTGTCTCATTTTTCCCTCACATGTTGGAAGGATATATTTTCTTCAAGATTTTGACTGAGTTGAGATGCAGAATCAAGAGTTGCTTTTTTTCTGAGCAGCAGTAAAGATCTCTGTCTGGAGCGTTCAGATTAATGTCACAAGTGGAAGTGATTTTGTATCAAAAATCAATGTCAGAGATGAGAATTGAGAAAATGTGACTCAACACAGATTTATGTTGCTCTGATCAGAAAACCTGTGTCACATGGGAGTGAGGAAATCTGCAGTGGGTCACTCGGCTGCAACTAACCCATCTACACCAGCCCTGACATGTCACACTGATAAATATAGTAATTCCGATTACAGTTAAGATGACGTGACATGTTGGGTGATGCTGGAACTGCTGATGAGTCTCGGGTGTTTGTGTGTCTGTTTCCCTGCCTTCTGTGACTGATAAGACCGAGCATCCTGTGTGACTGTCTGTGACCTATTTGTCTGATCCACAAACATTTAAATAGCTCCACAAGGTTTTTTACATGATGTATATGAGAGACAAAGGTTACCAAGTACATATGTTAGCAGTCATGACAACTGTGTTTAAAATGTTGATTTTAAAGTATATAATCTCGAATAGCTGGTTATATTTTTCAGATAATGGATGTATAAATCAGGATCAGGCACATACATTAAGTAACTTCCCTTTGTTTTTGCTCTTATTCAGGGGGGTCAAACTCTTTTTTATGCACCACATACAGCCCAAATTGATTTTAAGTGGGCCGGACCGGTAGAACAATTGCATGATAACCTATAAGTAACAAAACCTCCAAAGTTCCCTCTTTCTTTTACTGTTAAGAAGTACATTCTAAAAATGCTCCTCTATTCCAAAACAGATGGCGAACAGCCTGAGATGTCATAAAAAATATTAGTGCAATTTGCACAATTATGTCTGTTTTTTCAGCGTGCATACCTTCACAAACTCATCCTCAAAGTATGGCTTTAATGCTAATGCTATTTTGTTAGTTCAGTCAGAACAACTTGTCAAAGAAAACTTAATTTCCATTGCAGTAATATATTTGGTGGTATGGCTCTGTTCTGGGACCTCTGCGTTTCCTAGGCCTACACAGAAAGCCTCTTCCAAGAGCCTACGTGGAGAGGAGAAGACGAAGAAAGAACACCTCTCTGCCCTTCCACGTGCAAATGAGGAAAGCCTGAGGTAGAGAAAGCAAAGCCCTTCCATGCGCTTATGTGGAAATCCTTAAGGCAGAGAGACAACACCTCTCCACCCTTCCATGCGCTAACATTGAAAACCTTAAGGCAGAGAGAGCAAACAGGGCCTGGCAGGGATGGAGCACCTGCCACAGCAAGCAAACACGCTGTCTGCGGTCATTTTGACTTGACCAGTGGACTTCACTAAAAGCCGACTGGCTGTTGTAACAGGTGATGTGCTTTACATTCTAAAACCAGCCACCGGCAATTTGACCAGCGGAGTTGCAGGTGATACCATCATCCAGCTTGAGTCGAGCTCAGTTCACATACCGCTGCAACCTTTCTCTGCAACGTTTTTAAACGTTTTCGTCTCGTAGCAAATCTTTGTTCTGAATGGGGCTTAAAGGATACTTGATTTGTAATTTAAACAGCCCAGATTATTATGGGATGGATTCAAATGTAGCAGGTTTGTCGGCAAAACATTCCTTCTGAGAGCTGTACTAGAGCATAGTCTGACAAAAATAGGTTTCAAGATTAGTAAGTCTGTTTACACTAAACTCCCCTACCCTGTATACTGTGACTTTAAAACAGTTGTGGGAGTGAAAATTAGGCATCCTCAACATTTATTTTGTTCTGGTTTGAGGATGGATCTGTAACTGTAAATATTTTGGCCTAATTTAGTTTCTGTAACATTTAATATAATTAGTTAAGACGCTATGATATGGCATCAATTTGTGATTCTAAAGTTAATTTGGATGTCTTGACCACCACAAACAAACAGGCCATAGTGAAAATGATTCATCACCTTTCCTCTCCCTCCGTGGCGCTGCTCACGTGCTCGTCTTTGGTCATTGTCACTGATTATTTTTTTCTAAATTTGTATTCATTAGGACTTAAGTGTGAGAAAATATTACAACCCAACCCATCAAATAAGTGCAAGCAGACATTAAAAAATTCATAGACTTTGTTTGGGATATGGATATACCTCCACAACAATGTAGTCATGGTAGTTTGTGGTTGTCCGTGAATATGAGAGATGCCAAATGTCTCATGAGAATGCTGCTGAACACCATCAGTGCTGCCAGAATGCCCTGAATGCTTTAGTTACACTGGAAGAACTTTACCCTCTTTTTATTTTTGCCGTAAAGAAATCCAGATTTTCTGCTACAGCTGACCTAAATGCATGATTATGAAATAATAATTAATTGATATCAAGCAAGAATTTCCTGCTTTTTACCTGGACCTTTGTTACATCTTCTCTCTGGGTTTCCTCTTCCCACAGTCCAAAGCAGATGTCTACTTGTTATTGTACATTCATCTTATTGTTGGTCTGTGTGTGCAGGTACGTATGTGAGACTGCCTCACTGTACACACACAAGGTAAGGGATAAGGTGGCTGTTCCCCTTACAGAGACTGTAATAACCTTTTGGCAATGTTTTGGCTGAAAACACTCACCTTTGGGGGCATAATCCTGCCTGGAAATGCAGCAACGTCTCTGTAAACAACAACTGCTTCTCGTGGCACTATCTCAGCTTGAAACTCAGCGATGTGTCGGTGAAAATCAACCACTTCTTGTGGCACTATCCTTGCTGGAAAAACATTGACGGATTACTGAAAAGCCACTGGACACACAGCAGTGACTTGCTAAGAAACAGCGGGCTCTGCTTTTTTTTTGGTCTCTAAAAGTGGTCTGCATGCTATGCAGGAAATAAATGGCAGACAATGAATGTATAGTGCTTACGGTTGCAACGGTATGAGATTATCATGGTGCAATAATGGTCTCAGAAAATATCGTATTTTCACAGTATTACAGAACAAGCCGTTCTCACGAAGTGAACACTTAGGCAATGATTTGCGGCGTCAGACACTCCTTAAACGTCGGCATCATATGCGGCTGGTTGCCATTTATAGTTTAATGGCACTCAGTGGTGTCATTGGAAACACAGCGGGACATAAACGAAAATTAAGGCAACGAAAGTTTGGGTAGGGCGGGTGTGAGAGGTGGTGGATGGGTCCACCAAAACACCGACTTTCAACCAGGAGAGCAGTGTTTGCATCCCGTAGACCCCTCTGTCTGCTTCTCTCTGGAATCACTGTTTCATTTTTCCAAAACTATGATAATATTTCTTCAGGGAGTGAAAGTTAGTTACAGTGTGGGCTCCATGCTTACTCCGACAGCTTGTTGGACCATCACAAAAGGGCGGGGCTTAGCAAAAGGTCAATTTGGCTGGTTGTTGTTTATCACCCAGACCCTCAAATTTCAGGCAAACTGTTCTTGAATCACGATTAATACATGTGGCAATGCATACGTTGCACAATAAAAAAAACCATCTCCCAATATAAAGCAATGCAATACAAAGACACCACAACTCACAGACACCAAAATTGCCCCACAGTTGAAGCAACACCTCTGTAACTGACTCTTTACAAAGGTAGTTATTTCTTGCAGAGCTGTGTCCAACCCATGTCTGTCCCAAGGACACACTGTCCTGTATTATGCCATTGAAACATGAATTTAAGTCTCTCAACCTTGACTTTGGTTTGGACCACTTCTCTCTCTGCTCTAATTCTGAATCCCGAAAGACTCACTGCATTTTACGCCTTCATTTCTCCCCCCACTGTCTTTCTGCCCTTCTGTCTCGAAAGCTCTCTCACCCCTACAAATCCGCCAAAGCCCCCTCACCCAAGCAAACACACAGATATTCTCTCCTCATATGTTTATTTTGGTGGGGTGACTCTGACTGGCTGACTGCTGCGAAGGCCGGAACCGTGACGGAGAGGGAAGGAGGGGAGAGGGAGGGACCTGGCAAACACAGGGAGTGGGGAGGGAGAGAGAGAGAGACAGTGAGTGGGTAGTGTGCAGCTATAAAGGCGAGTGCTGGAGCTGCTGGTGGCATTAACCTCAGCAGACTGAGACTCACACACAAAACGAGAAACAGCCAGAGAGAAAAGAGACAGCAGAGTTGAGACAGAAGCACTCACATCGAGGAGTGAAGAACACAGGCTGATTAGAGCTGATCGAGAGCAGTTATTTCTTTGAGATTGGTAATTGTTGTTGTGCCTGGACCTGGAGGTTTGAGGAGTGTTTGTTTGACTTTGGATGAACTCTTTTTTTGTTGCTCCTGAGACAGAGACTTCTCTTCAAACAGGACAAAGCACCAAAAACAGCAAGGACAGACAAGTTTGAGACGTTCACAGGCAATCAGCTGTCATCTTCCAGCTGCGTCCACAATTGGTGTTGCATTTGATTTGAACTACATTTATTTTTATACTAATTTGGGCTTCTGGTCTACCAATGGCTGCTGTGCGTCAGATGGTTATGGAGGCCTCTGGCTTCCACGTCCTGCCAGCCCACCTTATGGCCTCAGCCATGGAGGAGTTCCCCCAGCAGCTGCCTGTCCCCAAGTGCCCAGCAAGAGGCAAGAGCCGCTCCCGCCGACCTCGTGAGGCTCGCTTCAAAACACAGCCTGTCACATTTGCTGAGATCGCAGAAGTAGAAGAGGAGGGTTCCTCGCCACTGGAGGAGGAGAGGGCACGCCGCTCCTTCCTGCAGTCCCTGGAGAACCTGCGGAGGAGCACACAGACCCTCCACTGTCCACCGGCTGCCCATCACAGCTGCACCCCCACACCCACACAGGCCAGCCTGGACTCAAGTGACTCCGACTCCACTCAGTGAGAGGTGGGACGTGCCCATCTCCTGGCAACCATGTTCCTCGCTTCGCCTTGACGCCGCTTCAAATGGAGGCCAACTGAACTGAACCAAACTGGCCTGTCTGCCAGCCTGCCTGTGTGTGTAAGCTGCTGCTGCCTGCATTTAATCTATACTAACATATCAACATACAGTGTATAGCTTGAAGATGCACATCTGTAAAGATCTCCACCAGTGCCACAGGCTGGTTATACTGCTGTATAGATATGACGAGTGTGAGAGTAGCAGATGATGCTGTGTTGAACACACCACTCTTCAAATGTATTCCTTTTCTACTGTAGATGTCTATGAGGAAAACTTGAATGATGAAAGTTGGTTGATATTTTTCCATTTTAAAGTTGTATAGGTATTTTTGTTTCAATCCAGATTTTTCTACTTCACCAGTCACCATACAAAGGACTGTTAAGTTAGAATTGTGATTTACCACACTGTAAATACTTTGACTAAGCAATGTACGGAGTGCCGGCAGTGACCCGGCCGTCACTGCAGCGGCGGAGTACCATTACAAAGCTTTGTCAGGACTTGAGATCTTGTTTTCCAGCTTCACAGTGAATGAAATCTCTGCTGTTGCTTCAATTCCTGAGCGAAAGAAAATGCCTTTCTAAATGTCCTTATTTATTCTATATTTTGTTCATAACCAAGTGGAGTTGTAGATGTGATATTTTATTGCTCTTTCTGACTTCTAAAGTCACCTTGACTTTCAAAGAAAATCATAACCTTTATACTTTATATTTGTTTTACTTTATACATATATGTTACGATGTTTGTTATATGTACTTTAATAAATATTTTCAAGTATTTTGAGTCATTTTCTGTTGCCATTTCTTTTACATTTCCTACTTGGAGGTGCAATTGTTGGAACAAAATACCGAAGTTGGCATGAGTTATTCAGATATTTTTGACATTAACTGTACTGAAACTGTAATCCAACCTGATTTACACTCAGTCAATGATAGAAACTACTACAAATGAACAATAAGAGGACATGCAAAGGTCAACAAGTCCCAGCACCAAGACAATGGATCTGAGAGAACAATAGCAACCCTGCAAGGTTGAAGAGATGGATGAAGAGATACAGTCCCATCACAAAAGTTTATGACATAAAGGAGGAAGTTAGGTGTCATGTAGCCTTTACTGCAGTGATACTCAACTTAGGGTGCGCTCTAAATCACATAGTTTTTCTTTTTACTTTTCGTATGTACTGCAACTGCCATTAAAAAGTACGTACTGTATGTTCATGCTGTTGTTGCTAGCATTATATTTGCGAAAGTTAAATTACGTCTGCATTTCGTAGTCAGTGATATTTTTATATTTATGTCCTGTTGTTGTTTGTAATATTTATGATTCTTTTTTAACTTAAACAATCAATATTCCTATTATCACTGTTCGACTGGCCATGAGTGCATGAATTCGCTGTCAGTCATCATTGCAACTTCTGAAAGCTGTCAATGAGCTGTCGTCTGTTTGCAGCTCAGTCGATGTGACATATCGTCCACTGTCTAGACCAAAAAATCAGACTGGATGTAATAGAACATCCTGGTATTTTTGGCATACTGCATTTGTCACATACTATGTATTGGAACATACTGAAGCTTTTTTGGCATACTATATTGTATGGTAGTATGGAGATTAGAATGCACAGTTACAGCAGGCTAGGGCACTGCGTGGCCCGCCAACCATTTTCATTTTAGAATTGATTTTAAAGGGCCACTGTGTAAAATGGGTTGAAAACCATTGAAAACAGTGACATCAGTGGTCAAATTCTAGATTGCAGGGCTCACTCGCTCACCCCTCCCGTCAGGTAAATGACAGTGGCCTCGTAGGGACAAAAAGCCTTGCGCAGACACAAGTTTTTCAGGAGTAGGTCTATCTAGTGACAAGGTAAATGTTTATTTAGTAATCTAAACCATGTTACGATATTGTAATGAATCCCTCACACACAGGAGACCAGAGTAGCTTTCGGGGAAAAGGCCCGTTTATTTGAGCACTCCAAAAACTCCGGTAACACTCCAGGGGGTAAAAGACTCCGTCCCAAACTCTGACTCTTCTAGCGTAACACACACACTCCATACACACATACTCGTTTACAATACCAAGTGGGCACCCCCTCCCCTCTCTGCTCCACCAATCTCCAGCCCGCACACTGACTGACAGCGTAGCCTGTAAACAGAGCTCAGCTGTTTATTTAGCCTAGCAATATCTCCGGACTATAGTAGCTGCAATGGACGACTTTGAACGCGATTTTGAAGAGTTTCTTGTAGCGGACACAGACCCAGAGCCATGCCTGTTTGAGCCGGAGCATACAGATGAGGAACT